TCGGAGATATTATGTAGGCTATCGCTCATTGGGAATAAATAATAATAATACATTTGGAATCCCGGGATTTAACGCGCGCACAAAAACCGTTTGGCTGGATTTAGCGTAAATCCGACTTAAATCCCACGATAAATCCGATACCAAACATCCCCTTAGAGATGGATTATGGGGGTGTGTGACTTGAACTATTGATTGGTCCATGCGGATATATCTAGCCTGAGAACACTGCCAATCATTCTTCCTCTCTCCGCAACGTGATGGACGGCGAAGTATGCCGGAACTGCGGCGAGCCAAGCGTGATTACTGATCTCGACACCAACATCCGCGTCTGCGAGTCCTGTGGCTCAGTCCAAAGCTATATATCTAGCCTGAGAACACTGCCAATCATTCTTCCTCTCTCCGCAACGTGATGGACGGCGAAGTATGCCGGAACTGCGGCGAGCCAAGCGTGATTACTGATCTCGACACCAACATCCGCGTCTGCGAGTCCTGTGGCTCAGTCCAAAGCTCAGACGCCTACCAAGACCAAGCTTTCGACCGAGACGGCACCCGGCTTGGCACCCTTCATTCCTCCGGCGACTTCGGCTACCGCGAGCGAAAGCTTTATCATGCCCGCGCGTTGATTGCCGATATCACCGCCCGCCTCAACCTCACAAAAGCACATGCCTCCGCCGTCTCCCGTCTTGCTTGCCAAGCTACAGACGACAATCTTGGCTCCGGTGACTGGTTCCCTGTCCTTGTTGCTGCCTGCGCCGTCATCGTCATGCGCCAACATGGCTCCCCTCTATCTCTTGCTGAAGCCGCTGAGGCTATTGGTCGCGACCCCCACGATCTTGGCCGCATGGTTGGTCGCGTCTCTCGCCATCTTGATCTTGGACAGCTCCCTGAGCTCAATGCTGTCTGCCTGTTGGAGCGTGCGGTTCGTGAATTATCTCCATTCTCTACCCTTGATAAGGATAAATTTGAGGAGATCTTGGGCCAGGGGAGATTCATCCTCCATTGTGCGATTAGGTGGTTTCTCACTACTGGTCGCCATCCACTTCCTGTTGTTGCTGCTGTCCTGATTTTTGTCTCCAAGGTGAACGGATTGGAGGTGGGTGTGGAGGAGATTGCTGGGATGATCCATGCCGGGGTCGCCACTAGCCATCGTCGGCTTAAGGAGCTCATGGAAGTACTTGTTAAGGTTGCTAAGAAGCTGCTTCCATGGGGAAATGATGTGACGGTTAAGAATATTGTGCATAATGCTCCAGTTTTGATCCGGTTCATGGAATTGAAGAGCAAGGCAAACTTGAGTAGTGTTGGTAATGATAATGGTTGTGTTCCTGACCTTGGATTCAATTTGAATGTTATCCTGAATGCCTATTCTAATCATGTTGATGCCGTTCCGGAGGAATCTAAATATTTCAGGTTGGGAAAAAGGGATGGGGGTGACGAGAGATTGAACTGGGATGAGCTTGAAAAGTTGAAGCTTTCAGCAGAGGGAATTCGTCTTTCTCATGATTATGGCAATGTGTTGGATAGGCTCCCAGGGATTTGCAATGAAGGGGAGATTGAAAAAAGAGATGGAATCAATATGAGGAGGACAGGCTTGGAGATTGAAGACTGGATTGAGTCTTGGAAAGGAAGATGGAAGTCTGACAAGGGGTTGACCCTCCAGCAGGTGCTGCAAAGGAGCGAGGGATTTGATGCTCTGCCTCCATCCTTTATGAAAGGAATGGACATGAGAAGGATGAGAAGAATGAAGATGGAGGCTGCCAAGCACCGGATTCATCGAACTATGAAGAGGGCACCTGTTATAGTTGAACGGGTACCTTGCAGTGGAGAAGATGATAGGCTTAAAGAACATCTGCCAAGTAGGAAGAGGAGGAAAAGGGATGGAGTGATTGATGGACTTGATTGGGAAGACTGCATAATCGAATTATTACTGCTTCATCAGGTTGACGAGGAACAAATTGAGCAGGGCCACTATAATAGGTTGCTGGACTTGTATGTTTTCAGTTCTTCTGCTTTATGAAAGCATTTGCTTGGTAGAATTAACAGTTAAGGAAGGGGCCTTTACTTATTAGGTTTGTTTTTGTGAAACACCAGTCAACTATCAACATTACTTGCATATTTTTTAACAACATCTCATAGTATCTGCTCTATAATTGTTTGTATTACAGTAACCTGGGCAAATTTCTTTTTTTGCTTAGAAATTTTATTCATGTTACTCTAAAAAGGCTTGAAAATGAAATAAGATGGATTTGCCAACTTATGCCAATTTTCTCCTCCGGTTCGGAAATTTGAATAATTTTTTGACACATTATTGAGCTTACTCTATGCTTCAATGTAACTTTAAGAAATGTTGGAATTGGAATACAATTTAGTCAACAACTTATGCCTTTTTGTTTCTTTTTTTAGTGGTTTCCATAATCCAGTTATAGTTTGCATTGATGCATCGTATACTGATTGTTAGATATGCACTGGACTTTGTATTGTTGGATATAGTATTAATGTCTTCAGTTCTCATCCCTGACTAATCCCATAATTTTGTAATAAATTCCTTCTTGTTGGGTAAATTTTTCCTCTAAAGAAAGATTGTATAGGCCTGAACTGTTAATAGATTATGCATCACTCAATTTCAGTCAGCAGGCCTGAAGCTTCATGAACTGATATTTCTTTTATTTAATTAAAGTTTATATGAGCATTGCACAAGAGCATTCTAGAAAAGAACATATGGAACATAAAATAATATTAAAAAAACATCATTCTTCATCAACTTGTGATCTTATCCCGCACCAGTTTTTTATATTAGTTGCTATTTCTAATATAGTCCCAATATTTACTCCATTTTCATTTTTATTTTCTTTTACATTTTGTTTAACTCTGCTATACTATTAGGATCAATTGAAACTTCGGTTTGCATTACAGTTTCTGTTAGATCATCACATGAACATGCTTTCTACCAGGGTGAAAACTATTGCTATTTGCAGCCGTTTCTGCCAGTTCTGCTATCAGGATTTGCATATTGCATTATATGGTTGCTATAATACAGTTTATGTCAATTGTGCATGAACGCTAATGGAGCTACTCTTTCTACGGTTTTAAACGTTTACAAATACTACTCAAAGTATTCATTAGGAGTGACACCCTCCATAATTCACAGTAGATATTCAGATTAGAGAGATAACACGTTCAAAATCTTATTTGGAGGATTCATGCACAAGTTAAAAATGTTCTCTTAGTGGGCGTTCCATAGCTCAAAAACCCTCGGAAGATAATATTAATTAAAGCTCTGACCTCTCCAATTCATAAGGCTAAGAGTTGCACATCCACAACCTAAATCATTTTTTTTTATTTGTCCCTTGAAGCTCCTCGATGTTATAGGGATGACATAAATGACTACTTTCCAATGCTGATTATTTTCAAAGTCTTTTTGTTTCCATAATCGTGTCATTAGGTCTTGTTAGTCCGTATTCTTTTTTCATCCCTTTATGTTTTACTGCATCGAATTCATTTTGATGCTGAGGTTAAGTATTCATGAGCTGTTTTTTAATGCTGCCTTTAGGCATATGTACTCAACTAAAAACTCTTTATTTTATTTTTCATTCAAAATTTTGGTTCAACACATTCTATCTAAATTTGGTCGTGATGGATTTCTTACTCTTTAATTTTATTTTGAATGTAATTTATGCAAATCGCAAAGTTGGGTAAGAAAAGTTGAGGTCTCAAATCTTGGATGAGAAAAGTGGAGAGTCGTGTTATGCAGTCAACAGCTTGCGTAAAACTTGTCGAATAATCGTGACATGAATCCTTTAATACATTATGTTAATGCTAGGCATTCCCTAGGAGCGACACATTGTATGGCTTGCATACAACGACAAGTGAGCAAAGGTCGCTGCATCGACGCCCGAGTGCAGTGTTAAATAGGCAAGGATTCCCACATCATGGACGGATGTGGACAAAGAAGCTAGTCCATAATCCTAAAATCAGGTAGGAACTTGGAATATAGGTTCCCTTACAGGAAAATTAATGAAATTAATAAATATTATGATCAATAGGAAGATTAATATTCTTTTCATTCAGCCATTCAGGAAATTAAATGGATTGGAGAGAAGACTAAACTGATTGATAGTTTAGCATTTAAACTATGGTACTCTGATAGGAGTCGTACTATAAATGGTGTATGTGTGATTATAGAGTTTGGAGGTAATATTATAACAAATAATAGAATTGAAGATAAAATTATAGCTTTAAAGATTTTTGTTGATGTTTATTATTAGTATTATAAGCATTTATGCTCCTCATGTAAGTTTGTATATTTGTTCAAAATTAAAATTTTAGAATGAGTTAGAAGAATTAATACAAAAGATACCTCTCGAAGAAAAAGTTTTTATTGGAGATTTAAGTGGACATTGATAGAGAGGTATATAATTTTAGAAGCATTCATGGTGGCTATTACTTTGAAGCTACTAATGAATGTGACAAGACCATATTAGATTTTTATTTAGCCTATGATTTTGTAATTGCTAATACCTTATTAAAAAAAAGAGATGAGTATCTCATTAGTTATAAGAATGGAAGTAGTAAAACTCATATTGATTATTTTCTTCTAAGAAAAATAGATCGTTTAGATTACAAAGACTTAAAATTATTTCGAGTGAAATTTTATATACTGAACATCGCTTATTACTTTTGAACTTTAAGATGAAGGGGTAGAATATTAAAAATAAAGTGGGGATTAGATGTGAACATTTAAAGAATATTAATAAAAATATTTTTGAGAGTAATATTCTAGATCTTAAGATTTTGTCTGTGCATGAGGATGCTAATGTTATGTGAAAAAAGTAGCTAGTGTTATTAAGAATGTTGCAAAATATGTGCTTGAAGTATTAAATGAAAAAACTACTAATAGTAAAAATAGTTGGTAATAGAATCAAAATGTGGAAAAAAAGATAAAAAAAGAAGATTTGTTATAAAAATTGGTTTAGTTGTAAAAACTCTAATAATTAGGAAAGATATAAAGATGCTCGTAAGGAGTCTAAGAAAGCCATTTGCAATGCAAAGTTTTTAGATTTTAATGATTTATATAATATATTAGATATTAAGGAAGGCGAAAGATATATGTATAAGTTAGCTAAACAAAGAAATAGGAGTAGTAAGGATTTAGTTCAAGTGAAATATATTAAGGATGAAGAAAAAAAAGTGCTTTTATTAAAAGAGGATATTCAACAAAGGTAGATGAGATATTTTATTAAACTTTTCAGTGAAGATTATGAGAATGCGATTAACTTTAGTGACCTTAGCATCCTAAATGAAATTGATGATTTTTTGTTTTTGTCGGCGTATTAGTAAAACCGAAGTTTAACAGGCTTTAATGAAAATGAAGCATGGAAAAGCTGTTGGACCTGATGTTATTTCAATAGAAGTGTGGAAATGCTTAGGAGATGATGAAATTTATTGGCTTACTAAACTTTTTAATATTATTTTGAATATTAAAAAGATGTCAGATGAGTGGAGAATGTTTATTCCTTTTTTTAAGAATAAAGGTGATGCACAATATTGTGCGAATTATAGAGAAATTAAGTTAATTTTTCATACTTTAACATAATGAGAGAGAGTTATCGAGCATAGGTTGCGGCATGATACTAACGTTTCTCAAAATCAATTTGGATCCATGCCGGATAGTTCTTAATGATATTTATTAACTTAGAGAAAGCATATGATAAAGTTTCAAGAGAAGTACTAGGGAGAATTTTAGAAAAGAAGGGGTTAATAATGCTTTTATTCAAGTAATTATATATATATATGCAAGAACTGTTACTTGTGTTCAGATGCAAGGCGGCTTGACCAAGTATTTGCCTATTTTAGTTGGATTACATCAAGCATCAGCCTTACGCCCAATTCTTTTTGCTTTAATCATGGATGTTCTCACTAGACATTTGCAAGAGGTTGTACTCTGGTGTATGCTTTTCACTGATGATATTCTTCTTGTTGATAAGAATAAGGAGGGGGTTGAAGGTAAACTTGAATTATGGAGGTCAACCTTAGACTCTAAATGTTTTCGTTTGAGTAGATCTAAAACTGAATATATGGAGTGTAATTTTAGTAATAATAGATTTAGTAGGGGGATTGTGACATTGGAGGATCAAGTCATCATTAATAAGAGCACTCATTTTAGATATCTTGGGTCTATTGTTCAGAGTGATGGTGATATATATTGGAATATTATTAGTAGAATTCAAGTTGGATGGTTGAAGTGGAGGAATGCATCGGGCCTGTTCTGTGATAGAAAAGTCTCTCTCAAACTTAAGGAAAAATTCTATAAGATGGTAGTGAGACCTACAATGCTTTATGGTGCAAAATGTTAGCCATTAAAAGAGAAGCATAATATTAAGTTAAGTGTTACAGAGATGAGGATGCATAGTTGGATGAGTGGCTTTACTCTTAAAGACAGGATACAAATTGAGTATATACGTGAAAAGGTTGGAGTAGCTCTAGTGGAAGAGAAGATTAGAGAGTCTCCTTAGATGGTTTGGTCACATAAAATGGCGACCTTCCGATGACCCGATTAGGAAAGTAGATGTATTAGATTTGACTTATTTAAGAAAGGTAGAGATAGACCTAAAGAGACTTGGTTAGAAAATATTAGAAATGATCTTTCTTTTTTATATTTAGATGAGAATTTTACTTTTAACAAACTACAATGGAGAAAAAGTGTGCATGTAGCTGACCCCACATTGTGGGATAAAGGCTTGTTATTGTTGTTGTATAAATTTGAGTAAGATGTGTGATCCACCCAAATTATCTCAAAATTTTGGCAAAACAAGCTCTTTTGTGCCTTAATTTAATTTAATTATTTATTTTAATATCAACTTTAGCGACTTGGAACTCTCTCTCGTCTCCAAAGTATCACAAAAGTTAAGTACCAAATCAACATAATGTTTTAAATTCTTGGTTGTTTCTTTCTTCACATTGTTTTCCCCTTGTTTAACATTCATCTTCAACCAACTGTAAACGGACCATCAACATACTAAAAATTTTAATAAAAATATGCTCTCGAGACTTAAATTACCAGCAAGAACAATGAAAGAAATTATACTTTATCATCTTTTCTCAACCTTTCAATATTTTTTTACACACTTATGTTTTTAGAGGGATGTTTGACTTTATATTCCCCATAATAATGAAAATTGGAGAAATAGGCTTGTTCATTTTCTTGAGAAAATATGCCCAAAAGTTCATTTTAAACCAAAATACCACTACTTTAGATTGCAGACTATTTATTTAAAGTTTGCTACTTCAAGCACTTGTTTGAACGAG